CAGCGACGTTGCTTGTGTAAAAAATTAAACTTGATTTCTCTCAGGATTTTCTCTGTCTCTAGTCAAGTTTGTTTTAAACTAATGGAAGTAATTAGCGAGTCACAGAGGGACTTTGTCTAAGAGGTAGCCATTTTTAGATAATGGAGCATAAAAGTCGACACAGTGACATATGACACGGGAGCAGCACATTGGAGCCATGCGCTGCGTCCTAAGCAGATGTTTAAGTACTTTGAATACTGAAATCACTACGTACACATATAGAGAGGGATGATTTTTTTTTCCCTCTCAGACTACTAGTACACTGTGGGGCTTTCTTTTAATCTCAATAAAATCAAAGTAAGCTCTGAATTGTTTTTAATGTGCAGTCATTATCACTCCTTCCTCTCTTCTTCAAATGTCTTTTTGTATGTGATGTGTGGGTACTTCAGGAGGTATAGATGGGATTTGCTTTTTGCATCGCCGTGGTGTAGCAGAGGAGTGCAATAATACACGGTGAAGCACTCCGCAGCATACGAACCCCTGTACCGATCCTGGCTGGAGCGCCGTATATCCGTTCTCACTCACTTGAGATGTTTTTACGGGTACAATATGTTTTCCATCACCACATGTGTGTTCCGCCGCGTGGATTACACGAATGGCAGAAAGTGTTTTGTTTTCTGCGTGATTAGCTGCAGGTTCAATTTCTATCAGATTTGTCAATTTTGTCATGTAATAGTTTGAGTTTTTTCCAGCCTAATGTATGTGACATGTTTCATAATGCCAATAAAAATAGTTTTCAAACTAGACTGTAAAAGAATTTGACCGAAAAAAAGCCAAAAATAAAAATATCAGCAAACGGGGAGCTTTGATCTGACAGTGTAGGCTTTTAAATGAAAAGTTGTGATTTGCAAAGCGAAGTTTTACAGTTCCTCTTCGCAGCAGCTGGAAGGTGTGGAGGGGTCGGCCAGGGTGGGATTGCAGCTCTGGTTGGGGGGGTCGGTTCCAGCAGCGGATGCGACCCACAGAACGGGTTTAGTTTTACTCCTTTGTTTTAAGTTTTTTTGTTTTATATTTCTGATAATGGAATTGTTATGGGCTTTTGAATTTCAGTTAAGAATGTGCAAATAGGCTATCTGGTAAGTAGGTTATTGAAGGGTTAGGGAAATGGAGAACATTTCGTGCAAAAAAATACCCACGGTGTGGGTAATAGACTCCAGTCGAATTTAAAAGATAATGGCGACAAGGGAGAAATCCACTTGTAGAAATGGGGAACAGCTGTGTTTGAGATCTAATGAAACTGTATCAAATACTTTAAAAATGGCTTACAACGTCTTCCCTGGGGAACGGAGATAAAGCACAAGAGCACTCCTGAAAGGTCGAAGAAACAGTTAAATCATTTCCTTGATGGTTATTAGAGATATAGGAGACATCAGTGAAAATTAAATGTCTGAAACTTGTATTTGATTGCTTTTCTTATCACGCCAATCTCACACGTTTCTTCCATCTCTTGCTCTCTGTTCTAGTAAAATTTAATAACTGCGCCGGTAACAAGGGAGTTCGGTACGAAACCAACAGCCTGGACTTCAAGGTGAGAGCGGATGGGACCATGTACGCCGCCCACCAACTCCAAATGCCCTCGAAGCCGCTGGTGCTGAGGGTGGCGGCGTGGGATCCCCAGAGCCTGGGCAGGCGGGAGGCCATCGTCAGGCTTCTGGTGGCAGAGAAGTCGCAACACAGTGGACACAAGGTAAGAAGTTGTCAAAGCTCTTTTTCTTATTTCGTCCTTCCATTGCCTGTGTTCCACAAACCTTTAAAAGTTACGTGCGCCATTGGATTGTTTGTGTTGCCTGGTCGGTGCTTCCTGAAGAAACCTGCAGGTAGAAGATACCACGAGCAGCATCAAATTCCCTGTGAATGACCCTTCAGCCCTCTGAGAGAAATGATGTGAGCTCACCAGTGAGGGAAGTGTTCTTACTTTACTTTCGCACAAAAGTTCATACTTTTGTATTTTCAGGTGACGGCTTGGCTCTGTTATATACTGCAGGTTATAGAGCTGGTGTTTGCATCTCCCTGCTGATACGCTCTCTTGGCTTGAAATCAGAGCTGGAAATGCAGGCTGCCTCCCTCTCTCCAGGGTCAGAGTCAGCCATCTTCTTGGGAAGTGGGAGGTTCCGTTTAGATTTCTGTAGTGACAGCGCTGACCTTTGGTGGCGCACCGGCTGCCGCTGCCGTGCTGCTGAGCCGTCTCCCTGCTTCTCACAGGGACTCCGTTCTCTCCGCAACCCGTCCACGTGCCCCGCAGCGCCGGGGGGGCTCCCAGAGGGGGGATTTGGGAAGGTTCCCTCCGCTGCAGCGAGGATGGGGAGCGCTGCCGCTGCCTGATGAGGGACCTCGGCTCCCGCGTGGCGCAGGCCAGCGGGGCAGCGACGCACAACACGGCACGGCAGAGGCAAACGTCCCCTCCTCTCAGTGCCAGCGCCTGCCCTTCCCCACCGCTGAGGAATGTAACACCAGTGCCGTTCAGTATTTCACACAGAAGGTTACGGATGGAGCTTGATGATCTTCAAGGTCCCTTCCAACTTAACCCATTCTATGAGTCTCTGATTCTTTCATTTTCAGTTCCGTCCATGTAGCTGAAAAGCAGGCAGGGCCTGTCCCTGCCCCGCGGTCCGAGCGCGGTGTTGCTTCAGTTAAAAACGGCGGTGGGACGCACAGTGCCATCGTAACGGGAAACTGCTCCGTGGAAACGCGTTTCTTCTGCTCTGCTCCTTCAGTAGCTGCCCCTGTCCCACCTCTCCCATAGCGCCTTTGGCAGCAGCACTTCTCCACCTTTTCATCTTCTCCTCCTGCCTTTTCAGCGTTAGTCTGGGCTGAAGATCCTGTACTACACTGAGTAAAAGCAGTTACATTGTCTGGTGCCTGCCCAAAAAACCCAATTGTGTGGTGGTTGTGCGGTTACGTTTAAACAGGGTTTGGCAGGAAATTGGCCGAAGAGCCTGATTTATTGCTGGACCTTGAAGACCCGTGGAGCAAGGATGAAGGTGTTTGTCACTGGGGAGCGGTCACGGCCAGTTCAGGGACAGGCAAGGTCACTTGCCCATGGCTGTAGTTTGGACGAATACACCATTGTGTGTCCATAATTATCAAAATAGCCGGACTGGCCCCTCTCCTCTCCTCTCCTCTCCTCTCCTCTCCTCTCCTCTCCTCTCCTCTCCTCTCCTCTCCTCGGCAGGGAGGGCAGGGCGGCAGCGGGGAGGAGGGAGGGTCGTTCTGCGCCGTATTGTCAGAGTGCCGCGGGTGAGTCTGTGCCATTTGGGAGAAGTTTTGCCACGCGTGAGACAAGAAGCAAGAGGCTTGGAGAGACTTAAATCTGGCAGTTGCCCAGAGGGCTGACCCCTGAGGTTTTGCACAGCTTAGAGTCAGATAAATGCACTTCTGCTGCTCTTCAGCACGGCTCTGGCTTGTGCAAGATATAATTAAACCCTGTATGTTATGTCAACTGCATTTGCCATTTTCTAACCAAAGAAATACTGCTTCCTTCTAAAAGTAATTAAATATTGAAGGAACAAGTAAGGTGTCTTATATACTGCTTTAAATTTCTTCTCGGTGTAGCAGAAAGAAAATGGAATGAGCACACATTTCTGTTTTAGTAAAATATTTGGTTGGAAATTCATCTAATGTTAATGTAAGCTGAACTCTGGTTCAAAACAGAGAGAGCTTAGCTTTTTAAAATTCATATCCCTCCTTTCTAAAAGCCTTATTAGTGTGTAGTTTGAGGCTGGAAAAATATGGAAAACAAGACTAATGACAAGGTCATAAGCAGTTTTATTGTGGCTCCCTATTGCAGGCATCCGACTTGTGTTTTATTTAAATGCTTGTGCTTTTTGCAAGCAAAATAATCCTTTGTTTACTAAAGAAATAAATATGATTATGAGATTATTTTTAAAAATAATAGTGTTTATGCTAAAAAAAAACCCAAAACATAACAATATCCAGTTCAGTGTGTTTCAGGCCGTGACCCTAATATACTACATTTCATGGCTTTTACTAGAAACAGATTTCACATTTGGTTTTGTATAGTATAATACGACTCAAGCAGAACTGCGTAATCTTTTTAAAGACATTTCAGGCTGTTGTGTTATATTCAGGATATGGAGACGGCAAATACGGGGGAGAAAGGAGGAGGTGATGTGAAAGAGGGAGAGAGACCGACTCTCTCTTCTGGCGCATACATCCGTTTCCATTTTACTTTGTAAATTTGTGACTGATTTTGTGAAAACGCTGAACAGTTCCCAGACATTAAAAATAATTGGCATGGGTGGGATTTGCCTTACTGCACCTGCTGGTCTCTGTTCGCCGGCACCTACAGCACAAACGAGTCCTCCTGCCTCCCTCGCCCCTACCCCGTGTCTCTGTAGGCTTCTCCGTGAGTGATGGCCCTCAGCTGGGGCAGCCCCACTGCGTGATGGGAACCTCCGAAAGGATGAACCAGAACTCAGTTCACAGTTACCCGGGGATTAAAGCTTCGTGAAAGCACGGTTAGCCCTCCTGGAGTGGCCCTTATTAGACACCTGGTTTATTATGGAAGTTAATACAGAACAGATGTTGTAGGAGAAGTTGTCACTGGGGACACTGGCTGGGGTCACGGGGGCCCAGAAGTGAAGTCCCCACTCTGCTGCAAACTCCGGGTGCGTTCTGGGGAGAGCAAACCCAGTGTCCTGTAGCCTGTCTGCTAAATGGGGGCAGTGGTCTACTTCCCAGAGGGGGCATGGAGGATCAACCACTCAATACACCATCCTTTGGGGTTGTGAGCCTTTATTATTGCAATATATGACTGGAAATCTGCGCAATGGGCCGGGAGGGAGAGCTTTGTTGGTGGCCAGCATGCTTTCAGGGTGGCGCATTGGTTCAGGGTGGCTGCTCTTGGGGTAGTCGTCCCCTTGTGTGCTTCCATGGCAAAATCAGAGGTTTTGGTGGCTGTACCTGTGCCTCAGATCCCACAGCTGCGCCGTTGCTCTCAGTGCAAGATGACATCTCGCCGGGGAGTGACCCGGTACACTGACAGTTTCCCCTCCTTCGTAGTGTCGGCCTTATAAACGTGCTGATTACTTCAGACACCTGAATAACCTGGGCAATCTGCAAATTTGCACTGGCAACCACTGTAAAGAAAGAATTCCAAGTACTACATCAAAGTTTAATGCTAGTAGCATAAAATGACAGCAGTGAAGGTAAATATTTTAAAAATGTATTTTATGATACATGAAGCATACATTTTCTGCTCCTCCCCAGAAACACTTGAACGTAAACTTTTATCTGGTTAATACAAGTGGTGTTAGTAACTCGAGGAACTTTTTTTGTTCAGTCTTGCAGGAAACCTGATAGCAATTCAATTAGAAAATGCAAATGAGGTCAAATATTTCCCACAGGAGTACCGAATTACCCCAGAGGAAACAGAGTGATATTCTAGCATAACAATAAATACTTAAGATAAAGCTTCTTGTACTGTTCTTGTCTGGCTGCCTCTTGTTGCAATTGAAAGTATCAATCGGACCTGTGGGTATAATTTGGAAAGAAGAAGAAAAAGAAAAGAAGAACAAGGAGAGGAGATGAGACAAGAAGAAAAAAGGAGAGGAGAGGAGAGGAGAGGAGAGGAGAGGAGAGGAGAGAAGAGAAGAGAAGAGAAGAGAAGAGAAGAGAAGAGAAGAGAAGAGAAGAGAAGAGAAGAGAAGAGGAGAGAAGAGAAGAGAAGAGAAGAGAAGAGAAGAGAAGAGAAGAGAAGAGAAGAGAAGAGAAGAGAAGAGAAGAGAAGAGAAGAGAAGAGAAGAGAAGAGAAGAGTTTTTTATGAAATAATATTAAGTCCTTGTAGGTTACATCAGCATTTATGAAAGATAAACTTGAATGGGATAATGCTCCAGAAGAAAACGAAGGGAAGCCATGCTTTACTTAAATCGAATTAACAGTACAATGTCTTATTTGCCAGGAGCACATGCTGTAACTCCTAACAACTGGCTATTGATTTAGCCAACAGTCTAAAAACTAAGATTATGTTTGTGAGCAGTGACATTGCTGAAGACTTCAGTCCTCACAGTGTCCTCTGTTTCTTAGCTGCAGAAACACAGGTCTCCCTAAGAACATGGGTGGACACGTACGGTTTGTGCATCACTCCGCACACCACCCGCCGTGTCCGCACGGTCCGAGCTGCTGCTCGTCTCTCCCTGCTAACCAGCCCAGCCCGCTGTTGGCTCTTCCCCTCTGAAGTTCTGCTCCACACTTTGATACTGAGCTTTTCTGTATTTTTCAGTGCTTTTATGTGTCTAAGCATGTTAAGGCATGTCTGGCAAATTTTCTTTTTTATTAGTTTATGTATTTTTCTGTATTCTGTTTATGTATTTTTATGTACTCTGTGTTCTGTTTATGTATTTTTCTGTATTCTGTATTCTGTTTATGTATTTTAGCTCACCTCATGAATTAAAATCAAGATCTTAGAAATATAGCATAGAGAGGAATTTCCAGCAAAAGAGCTTGGAGACACAGGGTATATTCAGTGCGTGTAGATGCTAGTCACCTGCTACTGGAGTCTTATTTTAGAAAAAAAAAATACTGTTTTCTTTGAATCCTGTTTTATGTCAACCTGTTTCTCATTGTCTCAGCTTCTCAAACTCTAAGCATTGAAGTATGTAAGTTTTTGCGATGCTAAATCAACAGGAATTGTGCAATTAAAATCTTGCAAATATACGGGTATGCAG